CTTTCCTGGACTCACTTGGTAGCCCAGGCTGGCCTTGAACTCACAGAGATCCGCCTGCCTCTGCCTCCCGAGTGCTGGGATTAAAGGCATGCGCCACCAACGCCGCCACCAACGCCCGGCTAGTCCTCATCTTTTTTAAGCACCTGTGTTTGTTTGGATAATAACACCGTTTCTTTCTTCCTTCTAGTTCTCCTTCAACATGTTTGACCACCCGATTCCCCGGGTCTTCCAGAACCGCTTCTCCACGCAGTACCGCTGCTTCTCCGTGTCCATGCTTGCAGGGCCTAATGACAGGTCAGATGTGGAGAAAGGAGGGAAGAGTATGTGCTTGTTTTTACTTTGAACAGTAACCTTTCCTGCCCCCGAGTCCATGAGTGAGCCTTGTAGTCAGTCTCCCCCAGCCCTTAGTTTGCATGTGGGCATCAGACACTAGCATTATAGTAAATGTCACTCATTCTAGGGCATGGGGGGGGTACTAATTATGTTTGATGACAGTGCCATTCAGAGCACAAAAATAAATAACTTCACGTAAGATTCTTAATGAGCCGGGGCGGTGGTGGCACACGCCTTTAATCCCAGCACTGGGAGGCAGAGGCAGGCGGATCTCTGTGAGTTCGAGGCCAGCCTGTTCCACAAAGTGAGTTCCAAGAAAGGCGCAAAGCTACACAGAGAAACCCTGTCTCGAAAAACCAAAACAAAAAAAAAAGATTCTTAATGAAAAGTCATTATGAAATTCTGGTTACCCTAAAAGCACTGTTTAAAGCTTTTAAAAGATGCATCAGAAAATATACGTCTTGCCTTTACTTTGTTCTATCCCTTTTATTTTTATTTATTTAATATTCCTGAAATATTCTTTTTCACAGTAATTATGCCGCCCTCAGCCCTGGATCAGCTCAGTAAGTATTTCCTAAGTGACTCTGACAATTTGGGTAATATAAGTATGGATGCCAAAAATGAGCATAAGCTCTTCATTGTGCTCAGATCCAGGTAACTTTTGTCAGGATGTGGTTAGAATCTTCTTTGGAGGGTGTGCTAGGCTAGAAGGACCAAGGCCTTAGATGAGGCAAGGTGTGGTTGTGCTTTCCACTGCCTGGGCACTATAAGCACCCTTCAGAGAAGGGGATTCCTCTCTCTGTCCCCTCCCATCCAGCCCCTTACTCCATTGCCTGGCTTGCCTCGATTGCTTTTCTAGATACAAAGGTACAGTGCATAATGCTTGAGCAGTTCATACTGTGGTGTGGGCTCACTAGATTGTCCCCTAAAGGAAGAATGGTTGATTTACGAGAGGACCACAGGAAGTAGATCTTTGCCTCCTTTCCAGATAGCTCTCCTGAGCTCCAGACCTGAGTTTCTCACCTCCAGTGTGACGTTGCATCCCCAGGAAACCAGAGGTTGAGCTATCACTTTCTTCCTATGCCAGATAAGGCCCCTCGTGAGAGGAGCCACAAGCTTCCTTTCTTGGCTATGGACAGACTTAATTATGGATGCACTCTTGGCTTTTGGAACTTGATGTTCCCACATTGAATTCATCCTGTGGAGACTGGTTATGGGATGTAGTGGTGACTTGCAGAAAATAGGTTCCACTTTGCTGTGTTTGGGCTTTGCACTTTGCCCTGCCCAACTATTGGCTCAGCTTCTTTGGCTTTCAGTATCTCAAGCAGGGACACCATCAGTGTCTGTTCATTGGAGCTGCAATGATAATTGGGAACCTGTCACTGGTTCTAGTGACAAGTGGGGAGGTGACCTATGTGCCAGCTCTAGCTGGGCTGTGTTCCTTGGAGGCTTCTATTTAGGCAGCAGGTAGAATGGAGCTATGGGGTTCACAATAGACTGGGTCCTTGGTCTTGCTTTTTGGAGTGAGCTGACCAAGGAGCCCAGGTATGTCCCTTAGAACAGTGTCCTGGAAGGTACTCGGGACCTGGATCAGTGGGCTTCAGACCAGATTAGATCAATGTTCAGACCTTTTTTTATTCGTTTGCTTTGGCTGTACTGGGGATCAGGCAAGCTAGGTGAGTGCTTATTCACTGAGTTATA